TGTTTATTCAATACATAATAGTTTGCTAATCCCAAACTCCCTCACACATGTGCTCCTGCCCTCGACAGCCTCGACAGTTTTTCCTGTGTCTGTCAGTCTTTTTTATAGATAATTTCATTTATGTCATTGTATTTTCAAATAATTTTATTTTGGCTGTGCTGGATCTTCATTGCAGTGCATGAAGCTCTTTATTGTGGCACATGGGCTTTCTCTAGTTGCAGTGAGTGGGGGCTGTTCTCTAGTTGTGGTGTGCGAGTTTCTCAATGCTGTGGTTTCTCTTGTTGTGTCATGGGTACATGGGCTTCAGTAGTTTTGGTACACGGGCTCAGTTGCCCTGCAACCTGTTGGATCTTATTTTCCAGTCCACGATTCAAACCCTTGTTTCCTGTGCTGGCAAGTGGACTCCCAACCACTGGATCACCAGGGAAGTCTCAGTGTGTCATATTTTAATAAGTGATGTCATATGGTATTTGTCTTTCTCTTTCTGACTTACTTCACTTAGTATAATAGTCTACAGGTCTAATTATGTTGCTGGACATGACATTATTTCATTCTTTTTATGGCTGAGTAGTATTCCCCTGTGTATATATACCACATGTTCTTTATCCATTCCTGTTTCCATGGACATTTAGGCTGTTTCCATGTCTTGCTATTTCAGTAGTGCTGCAGTGAATATTAAGGGTGTATATCTTTTTTATTGCTAGTTTTGTCTGGATATATGCCTGGGAGTGGGATTGCAGCCTCATATAACAGCTCTGTTTTTAGTTTTTTCTGTTTTTTTTAAATTATTATTATTATTTTTTTTTTTGAGGAAACTTTACCCTGTTTTTCATGGTGACCCCACCAGTTTACATTCCCACCAACAGTATAGGGTGATTCCCTTTTCTCCACATCTTCTCTGGCATTTGTTATTTGTTGGCCTTTCAATGATTGCCATTCTGACCAAGGTGAGATAGTGCTTCATTATGGTTTTGATTTGCATTTTTTAATAATTAGTGATGTTTAGCGATGTTGAGCATCTTTTCATGTGCGTGTTGACCATCTATATGTCGTCTTTGGAGAAATGCATGTAGGTCTTCTGCCCATTTTTTGATTGTGTTTTTTTTTTTTTACTGAGTTGTATGAGCTGTTTGTATATTTTGGAAATTAAGCCCTTGTCAGTCGCATCGTTTGCAGATGTTTTCTCCCACTCCATAGGTTATCTTTTTGTTGTGCTTGTGGTATCCTTTGCTGTATAAAAGCTTGAAGGTTTGATTAGGTCCTATTTGCTTTTATTTCCATTGCCTTGGGAGACTGACTTAAAATATTGGTATGATTTATGTCAGAGAATATCTTGCTTATACTCTTAAGAGTTTTATGGTGTCATATCTTATATTTAAGTCTTTAAGCCATTTTGAGTTTATTTTTATGTATGATATTATGAGAGTGTGTTCTACTTCATTGATTTACAGGTAGCTGTCCAGCTTTCCCAACACCACTTGCTGATGAGACTGTCTTTTCTCCACTGTATATTCTTCCCTCCTTTGCTGAAGATTAACCATAGGTGTGGGTTTATCTCTGGGCTCTCTATTCCTTTTTTTCATTTTTTAGTCTTGTCAGAACTATGTCTTTGCTTTCTATTTCATTAAATTATGCATTTATTTGTATTATTTCCTTTTATCTGCTTTTCTTTATGTTCTTTTCTAACTGAAGGCAGATGATCTGTTCATTAAACTTTTTTTATTTTTCTGATGTAATTATTTATAACTACAGATCTCTTATATACTCCTTTTGCTGCATCACACAAAGTTATTTATATAGTCTTTAATTTTACTTATAAGTATTTTCAAAATTCTGTTAAGATTTCTTCTCTGACTCATCAGTGTTTGTTGTTATTGTTTTGCTCAGTCATGTCTGACTTGGCGACCCCATGGACTATAGCCCACCAGGTTCCTCTGTCCATGGGATTTCTCCAGGCAAGAATACTGGAGTGGGTTGCCATTTCCTTCTCCACATCAGTTTTTAGAAGTTTCTAAACCTATAAGATTTTTTAAAAGCTATCTTTTTGTTATGATTGTCAGAGAATATGATTTAGGATACCAAATACACGAAAAATGTGTAGAGATTTTTATTGCATTTGTTTGGATTTTGTATATACTCTTGTTTGTGTTCTTCTGTTTGGAAGTTATATTTGTATATGTTTATTGCATCAAACTTAATAGTTATGATGTCAGTTCTTCTTTAACCTTTCTAATTTTTTGTCTTCTTAATTTACTACTGAGATAAATATGTTAAAAGTTAAACCTCTATGACAATGGATTTATCAGTTTTTTCTTGTTTTGTCAATATAGTTTGGACCTATATTAATAGGTACACATAAGCTTAGCTATTATATATATTGAATAAAACCTTTTATAAGTATATAGTGACTTTCCTTATCACTAGTAATAGCTTTGCCTTAAAGTCCTTTTATGTGTTATTAATATATCTATACCAGTTTTGTATTGATTAGTATTTGCCTGGTATTTTAGTTTTTTTTCCCTATTTTTATTTTTTAACCATTCACTACTCCTAGGTTCTTAGGTGTGTTTCTCTTGACAAGCGTGTAGATGACTTCTCAATCTTATATGAAATATTTTCTGTGTGGTTACAGTGCAGAAGGTGCTGAAAAATGGCAGAGGAAGTGGTAGTAGTAGCCAAGTTTGATTATGTGGCCCAACAAGAACAAGAGCTGGACATCAAGAAGAATGAGAGATTGTGGCTTCTGGATGATTCTAAGTCCTGGTGGCGAGTTCGAAATTCCATGAATAAAACAGGTTTTGTGCCTTCTAACTATGTGGAAAGGAAAAACAGTGCCCGGAAAGCATCTATTGTAAAAAACCTAAAAGATACCTTAGGTAAGTTATTTTTGTTTTAAAACAAAAACAGCAATACTTTCTTTTTAATGAATGCTAGAAATTCGTTCTTTGTACAGAATTATGGCATCAATGGGCAGAACTGACTAGAACATCCCAAGCTGGGATTTCAGCTAGGCAAGGTAAGTTTGGCTCTTAGCAAGTGTATTCAAATCAGGTGTGTTCAAAGAGACCCGTGAAGGTCATTTTCTGTAAATCTAGCTAGTGGAACTGACTCTGATTTTCTGTCATGGGCTTCTTGAACGGTAGGTACCTATTGGAGTTTAGACAGTTTCTCCATATAATTATGGGGATAAATGAATGAGATGCAGAATATCCTCCTTGTCATTAAGGTCACTTATTTTACAGGATACATTGATGGATTTTATATCTAATGGCTTACATTTTTATATTTGCTTTTAAAAACAAACTCATTTTGTTCTTATATTTGATAAAAGAGTTTTAAGTTGTGGATCATTACCATATATTAGCATCTACAAAGCTTATCTTTCTTATTTTCTCTTTTTTTCTTTTCTCTCTTCCTGTAACTGTAAATTTTGTTTCTACTGACCTTCGCTTAGGACCATAAATAGGGGAACCTACTTCATGTTGGGCTTGACCACGCTGTGATAGGAAGGAAATATGCACAGATGAGAACCAGTCTGTCTCTCTCTTTTTAAAAAATTCTCCTTAGCTGACAGGAAGGAATTGGGAGGGACAGTTTCCCTCAGGTATTCAGGCAAGCATGCTGTTACTTAACAATTCTTGGTGTATATGTAGAAGAAAAAGTATAAGTTCTCCTTGAAAAAGGTAGTTTGAGAATAATGTGACTTTTGAGAATAATGTGACATGATTGAACATGGAGTATTATTGACTGCTTTATATTTTTATTTCTTACTCAGCATTATTGTTCTTCTATGCTAAAGGTAATTTAATAAATGAAGTTATTAACCATACATTTAAATGCTTTAATTTAATTAGGCTTACCTTTTTGTGTGTGTGTGAGATTTTTGAGGTCATAGTTATAAGTTAATATTATTTAATTATTTAATATTAGTTTTTAAATGGAAGACAGTCAGAAAGAGATTGTCCTTGAATGGTTGAAGAGATCAAAGTTAGAACCAGGAATACTTACAATTTTGTAAATAATTGGATATTTATTTAAAGTATATTGATTAGGGATCTTTGGGAAAATTAAGGTGGCTTCTGTCAGAGTATGCTTTGTAATGATGAAAGCACAGACAGGACTAGGGACGCACCGAGATAAACTTTTATGTCCTTTAAAAAAGGGTAGTGGTATCCTGAGACTATAGCAGATGTGACGGTAAATGACAAAAGAATGAAAAAACTAATATAGAGCAAGGAGAAAAAAATCCCAGTTTCAGATAAAACTTCATATAAATTTTGAAAGCTTTATTAGATATAGTTTTTGTTATTAATACTCCTGGGAAACCTTTCATACTATTTTCTGATATTATTGAGACAGTTTTAGGTGTCTTGAGACTGTATCTTTTTAACTGCCTTGAGACTGTATTATTGAGACTGTTATCTAGACTGTTATCTAGTTCTAGGCTATCATTGTATTATTAAAATTATTGCTGTCTATTCCAAAGTACTTGGAAACATTCTGTTTTAAGGTAGTGACCTACAGTTAGCCTGTATAATGATGTAAATCCAGCTTTTGCCTTGGATAGACAGTCTTCTCCCCTTTCTCAAGGTTTCTGAATCCCATTTTGGTAACTTAAATGTTCCCTATAACTAATGGATTTGTTTCACAATGATTGTGCTGATGGAGATATTGTTTGAAGGTTAAGAAAGAAAAGGAGAAAACAAAGGAAAGAATGAATACATGATGAAAAATAGAAAAATAGTACAGATGAATGTAGTTCCAGGGCGGGAGTAGAGACTCAGACATACAGAACTCTGGGAGAAGGGGTTAGGAAAGGGGAGGGTGGGATGAACTGGGAGATGAGGTTTGACAGAAATACACTAACACATGTGAAACAGATAGCTAGTGGGAGCCTGCTGTGCAGCACAGGGAGCTCAGCTTAGAGTTCTGATGACCTCGATGGGGGGGTTGGGGTGTAGGATGCAAGGGAGATCCAAGGGGGAGGGGATGTAGATGTACATAATGCTGATTCACTTTGTGGTACAGCAGAAACTAGCACAACATTGTAAAGTAATTCTGCTCCAATTAAAAAAGAATGAATACATGAATATATTTTCAACTACTGAAAAAATACATGCTTTAAATTTGTGCTATAAAACTTATTCCAAAATAAGTTTGAATAGTAAGGTCATATTTGTGGCCATCACGATATCCTTGTTTTATAAGTTCTGTTAGCATTCAGGGAAAAAATGTTTTGGCAAGAGAAAAGCCTTAGGAAAACTTTCTATTGCCTGGATGTGGGCCAGGTCACATGGATGGGGTGTGGGGAGTTTCAGTGTTGCAGAACCAGGAAGTTCACTGAAAATTATCCTGAGCTGTGTTAACAAACTGACGAAAGAGAACACGGGACTTCTTTTCAAAATGGATTGGCTAAAGGTGTTTAAAGATTTTTTCAGTAAGTTAATCTGTTTATTATATCTATAGCTTTCTTGTGTTTGAATTAGAGTTTTCAGTTTGTGAATTTAAAGGAAAACTATAAGGAGAGAACATGGCGGGTTTATATACGCTGGTGCTTTATGTTTGTGAATCAAGCTAACTGGTAATATATCTGATATTAATAGCTTTGACTTGCTAAGTAAAATAACTTCAAAATTTTTAATATCATTATTTAAATAACAAATAGAAAAAGTATAAATGATTTGACTTTGATGTAGTTAGTTCTCTGAACTTAGCATAGACATTTGAAATGAACTAAATAAACTGTAAACATATTAAAATCAGGAGGAGAAAAAGGATTTAAGCGAGCAAGTTCCTTCATCCTCAGCATTTGAAGTAACATGATACTGTTATTACTTAGACTTTAGAGGACTGATGTAGAAGATAATGCTTAATGAAAGCACCAGTATAGAGAGTATTTTAATTTAATCAGTGTCAGATTGCTAGAAATTGCTATTTTGGTTAATGTGAGATTTGACAGTTTGAAATGAGTTGTGAGAGCAGCTGCATACAAAGAATTTGAAAACATTGACAAAAAATAGTGAACTCTTGGATTGTTTTGAGTTGAGGTTTTAAAGTGATTCTGATACTAACAAAGAACCTAACCTGTGGATCTGCTGATAGCCTCTTTATACTCCTGTGATAGTGAACTTGATTTGGTCTCTTTGAACAGTTGCTCAGTGGTTCTAGAAAAATGAACAGAGAAATTGTTGTAGAACTCTTTTATGTAAGGAGTCTAAGGAAACAGAGTAACCTGTCAGGAGATTTTGGGGCAAAGAGCAAAATGGAAAGGCATCAGGTACTTCATTGGCAAAAAAGCTGTGATTGTAATATTAAGACTCATTCATTTTTTTCGGTAACTTTGGTGGCCAAATGAATCCTTCTGGAATATGTCTCTCTTATTTACTTTTTGGGGAGTTGTTAAAATTTTAGATCCATTTTTGGGAGTTAGTTTTGCTAGAGTTTATTCATTCATTCATTCACTCATCAACATTTTTATTGAGAACCTACCTACTGCAAGCCAGATAAAAACTAATCGTCACAAAACTTAAGGTTCTGATGGAGCGGTAGGTGACGGTTGTTATTTTTTGTTAATATTTCTTAAGTTTGATTTTAAGTGAGACTGATCGTAAATCAGCAGAAGTGATATAAAAAGGATATCTTTTTATATCTGTAAGATCTTAAAGAGACTGTATAACTGATACAGTGATTTAATGTATACCATCAATATAATTGCACGTCTGAACAGGGACATGAACCCTGGACCCTCAGGTTAAAAGTCATAGCCTGAATAGCTTGAGCTATCCAGGCTCATATAAAATTATCATTCTATTGAATCTTAGAAAGTTGATAGTTATTCTTAAATACATTTGTAGACTTAGAGTCAGGATTTGAGATTTATAACCAAAATATTTGTTTCCTCACTGCTTACAGTAAGCTGAAATTTTTACTAATTTAGTTTTATAGCTTGTTAGAATAGAAATAGGTTGTTCACCCACTGTTTCCCTGAACAGACTTGAAACATAGAGGAAACAATATTTGTGCTCCTTGTGTGGTAGGCAACTAGAACCCTTGAGAACAGAAAGGGCATTGTTTCAGATAAAGCAGAGAATAATAAAAAGTAGTAATTTATCTTATTTCATGTAAATCAGGTGAACTGATAAAAATACAAAAAAAATTAAATAAAAGCCTCTATTGGAAAGAACATCATTTATAATATTTAGAATTCCTTCTCTTCCCAGATATACCACTTATTAGCCATGTGGCTAAGGGTGTATGACTTTGCTGATTTCCTGTTTCTTATTTGTAAAGGAGAGAGCTGGGCAAGACCAGATGATCTTGGAAATTCCCTACTGACTCTGAAAGTCTTATAGTCCTGGTACACAGCTGATCAGCCTTACATGTGTTATAGAAATCAGGGGAAAATCCATAAGGGGGAAACTGGTTTTGAAGAAATAGGAACATAGAACAGAATTATAGTTCCCTAAAGAATTAGCAAGGGTCAGTAATAATTTTATTCTTTTATTTTTGCTGTGCTGGGTCTTCATTGTGGCACACAGACTTCTCTTGTTGCAGAGCACGGGGTCCACAGCACGCGCGGCTCAGTAGTTGAGGCATGTGGGCTTAACTGCACACAGCATACGGGATTTTCGTTCACTGACCAGGAATTGGACCTGCCTCCCCTGCATTGGAAGGGGGATTCTTAACCACTGGACCACCTCAGAAGTGCCCATCAGACTCATTCTGTTGAACATTTATTTACTGTGTGATTTAGATGGAGGGAAAATGACATTCTTAAAGTAGAGACCTAATGGTGAAAGTGTAACTAGTACACTAAGTTCAGAAACACATTTGAAAGCTAAAAACTGAGAAACAGATTAATAGAGACAGATATTAATGTAAAAGTCTGCATTAAGTTTTTAAAAGGGATTGAAAAATCGATGAGAATCTGTCCTGGCAGCAGTTTACATGAGTAAAAGACTTAGCAGGAGCTGCTGTGATAATGTAGGTGCTAAAAAAAAATCTCAGCATTTTATATGATGGTATGGATTCAAATTTATGAGGTGCTCAGGTAAGGGCTGCAGTGTGTGCTGGCCAAATAAAACATGGCATAGTCTATTCATTTCGGAGAGCTATACTTTAACAGTGGTTTTGAGAAACTCACGTGCTTCCAGATACTGGCATCAGGTTTATCAAAGGATTTGGAAACCAGGTTACATAATGAATAGTTAATGGGTACAAAGATTTGCCTTAACTATCCTATAGGAGAGGACAACTATTTTATAAAGATGGAGTATTCACAGTGCTTGACTAGATTCTTAAAAACTTTTGAGGAGTTAATAGTACATTGTTTTGGTCAAGAAATCATGCTATAGGAAGAAGGAAGTAAGACTAGTGGATTGGAGTGGAAGGGGAAGAGTGTGAGTGAGGCGAAGATTGAAAGCTATACTAATGCTTTTGGTTTTTTTAAACAAAGCTAATGATAAAAATGACTACCTCAGAGTTATGCATGTCCTGAGTGCATAGAACTGAGTATTTCCCTCCGAACCCTGGGCATGTCCAACTATTTCATGCTATAGTAAAAGTATAGTAACAAAATAGTAAAAATAGTAAAAAAAAAAAAGTATAATTAAAAAAATGCTTATTTTTGAATAAATAAATATAAATTCCAGAAGCATTCAGTTCAGTTCATTCGCTCAGTCGTGTCCGACTCTTTGCAACCCCATGAATCACAGCACGCCAGGCCTCCCTGTCCAACTATTTCATGCTATAGTAAAAGTATAGTAACAAAATAGTAAAAATAGTAAAAAAAAAAAAAAAAAAGTATAATTAAAAAAATGCTTATTTTTGAATAAATAAATTCCAGAAGCATTCAGTTCAGTTCATTCGCTCAGTCGTGTCCGACTCTTTGCAACCCCATGAATCACAGCACGCCAGGCCTCCCTGTCCACTACCAACTCCCGGAGTTTACTCAGACTCATGTCCACCAAGTCGATGATGCCATCCAGCCATCGCATCCTCTGTCGTCCCCTTCTCCTCTTGCCCCCAATCCCTCCCAGCATCAGGGTCTTTTCCATTGAGTCAACTCTTCACATGAGGTGGCCAAAGTATTAGAGTTTCAACTTCAGCATCAGTTCTACCAATGTACAGCCAGGACTGATCTCCTTTAGGATGGACTGGTTGGATCTCCTTGCAGTCCAAAGGACTCTCAAGAGTCTTCTCCAACACCATAGTTCAAAAGCATCAATTTTTCGACGCTCAGATTTCTTCACAATCCAACTCTCATATCCATACATGACCACTGGAAAAACCACAGTCTTGACTAGGTGGACCTTTGTTGGCAAAGTAATGTCTTTGCTTTTTAATATGCTGTCTAGGTTGGTTAGGAGGTAGGAAAATATCGATAATCATCACCATCGATTGAGTGCCTGCTGTGTGCTATGTGCTGTGCTGAGTGCTTTCCATATAAACTTTTAAAAATTTGTTACAAAATTTTTCTGAGATAGGTAGTTATTATACACCACGTTTCACAAACAAGGAAACTGGAGTTTAAAGACGGTTAAATAACTTGACCAAGCTCTGATTAATCTGTAAGTAGCACCATTGAATGGAGAAGGCCAATGGCACCCCACTCCAGGACTCTTGCCTGGAAAATTCCATGGATGGAGGAGCCTGATAGGCTGAGGTCGCTAAGAGTTGGACACGACTGAGCGACTTCACTTTCACTTTTCACTTTCCTGCATTGGAGAAGGAAATGGCAACCCACTCCAGTGTTCTTGCCTGGAGAATCCCAGGTACAGGGGAGTCTGGTGGGCTGACGTCTGTGGGGTTGCACAGAGTCGGACACGACTGAAGTGACTTGGCAGCAGCAGCAGCACCATTGAAATTTAAACTTAGGGTCTCTTGTTAAAGAGTTTTCCTAGTGCACACATTACATTTATGACTATAGTGTTAGAGTCAGATAAGTAATGGATTGGCAGGATTTGCTGCAAAAGGGTCTGATTAAAATTAGGATTGTGGTGAACCAGCTAAAGTTGAGAAAAATTTAGAAAAGATTATACATTAATCTGAGGTAGCCTGCTTGTTGTGATGTGATGTGATGTGATGTGAAAGTCACTCAGTCGTGTCTGACACTTTGCAACCCCGTGGACTATACAGTCCATGGAATTCTCCAGGCCAAGATACTGGAGTGGGTAGCCTTTCGCTTCTCCAGGGGATCTTCCCAACCTAGGTCTCCCACATTGCAGGCGGATTATTTACCAACTGAGCCAGAAGGGAAGCCCAGGAATACTGGAGTGGGTAGCCTATCCCTTCTCCAGTGGATCTTCTTGACCCAGGAATTGAACCGGGGTCTCCTGCATTGCAGGCAGATTGTTTACCAACTGAGCTATCCAGGAAGCCCTGTGTTGTTGGAATGATGTAATTGTTGTTGATTATAACATACTTGAGAAATTGAGA